TTATTTTATTATAATTTAATTTAAGTTTAATAATGAAATAATTTATTTTTAGTTTAATATTATAAATTTTATAAAGATAATAATTAAGTATTATGTTAGAATTCAATAATTATCTTAATTATATTTTAGATTTTTATATTTAAAATGAGATGTTTATCTTGTATTTGATGAAATAAGATAAGGATGAAATCGTTTAGAGATGAACGGGTTTAGGAATGGCTTTAACAGGTTGTACCATTAGCAATAGAGGTTGTCTTTAAGAGTTTTTAAGAGTTTTAGCCAAATGCTTTATAAAATAGTATAGATAAGGGGTTGTTTGTTTACCTTTTAGTAGTTTCATTAAGAAGCTGTATCTGAATCGTTAAGAGATGAATCTTGTTTGACAAAGAAAAAGTTTGCCACCAAAGGACTCTTGACCTAGCGGTATGTGAGTCATTGGCCTCATAGGAGGTCAAAGGTTCAAACCTCACCAAAAGTGAGAAGAGTATGTGAGTTTATGTGTTCTATTTGCTGTATATAAATATTATATACTTCAAAAAAAATCTGTCTCTTAATGGTTCTAAATACTCTAAATGATTTTGTATTATGGGTCTCTCTCTTAACCATTCAGCATCCTAATTCCATTGTAAACAATTATATTTCATTTTGTGTTGTATCACGAGAGTTTTTTAATCATTCTGACCACTTAATCTTTCTATATTAAACCATTCAGCAACTGTCAAACAGCGCCTAAGATATTTAATTTAAAAATAAAAACAACTTATAAAAACAACATTAAGGGGTCGTTTACCAAACGCTTACTCGGGTAAGCGCTTACCAAATCACATTATCTTATCGGATGAATATGACAATAACCAAGAATCTTACCCGGTAAAAGCGAGACAAGGAACAAGAGTCTTACCCGGTAAGTGAAGGCGACCCGACTCTTACCACGGTAAGAGCTTATCGGGTAAATTATTGCATACGATTTTGTTTTGATGGACTAAAATCTTACCCGGTAAATAAGTAATAGTGTTGAGTTTTATCGATAAACACTTATCGAATAAGTTTTCAGTAAACGACCCCTAAATCTTTATAAAATATCATAGTCACCACTACAAAAATTTGTAAATGCACTATGATTTTTGATTTCACTAAATCTTATCACCATTTAGGGAAATCTTGAAAATAACACATTACATGGTCAACATATATTTTCTAAAAGTCAAACAATTCCACTTATGGGAATTTATGAAATTAAATTTGATGGGTTCTTTTTAATTTGTTAAACCTCTTTTTGATGTTTTTTTTCTGATAAATTGAATGAAAATTCCAATTAAATATTTTACTGAAAAATAAAGTAAAAGCAAACATTGATGAGAATCTAATGTCTTGAGAAGCTACAACGGCGTTTGGTTCGTAAAATGTTTTTTGAAAGAATGGAATTTATCAAATGAATTTGACTTTGAAAGAATGACAATGAAATTTGACCATGTGTTTGGTTGGATGAAATCTGTTAAATGATTTGGAATTTGTCTGTTTAGTTGGTAGAATCTAGCTTCTGAATTAGAATGAATAAATGATAAATTACCGAAATACCTCTTTTAGTGTGGTGGTTGTGGGTGGTGGTTCAGATCGGTGGTGGTCAGTAGTGCTTCAGAACGGTCATGATTCAAAAATGTGGTTTAGATCAGTGGTGGTTGACAGTGTTTCAGATCGATGGTCATTGACAGTGGAAGTCATATGGGTCTGAGTAACTGAAGTAGGGAAGATGGGGATAATTTTATATTTTTGAGAAAATAAGAAGTAATAGAATTGAATTCCTTCTCAATTGTGATGGAATGACCAAATCCATGAACGGTGGAACTTGTGGAATTCAATTCCATTCCATAAGTAAACCAAACGCCTGAATGAAATTTGGTCAACGAAAATGATCATTCTAATTCCTTCATATTATGTCGGAATCCTACGAACCAAACGTCCCCTAAGAGTTCCTCAGTAAGGTTTTCTATGAAGGCTAAGTCATAGCCTAAGATCAGGTTGAAAGTTGTAGTCAGTAGGCAACAGACAAATATTCTTGTACTAACCCTTTTTGGTCCTAAGATATAGAGGAGGACGGATACACTCAAAGATCGTTATCGGTTCATTCAACTAAAACATAATTTAGAAAACACTCAATAAAAGCCAATCACTATTTCCAATTACATTTTTTGGCCCATCTATACCAAAAGTTTAATTATGGATTACATTCAAAACAAAGTTACACATACATTTATGGGTCCATTTGCCTTAATGTATGCATATAAAACACCATAAATATAATTAGGTGTGACAATTTTGTATCAAACTAAGGGACCGTTTACCGAATGCTTACTCGGGTAAGCACTTATTAAGTGACGTTACCGTACCAGATGAATGTGATAAGAACCAAAAATCTTACCCGATAAGAGCAAAACAAGGACCAAAAGTCTTACCCGGTAAGTGACAGTGACAACTCTTACCACGGTTAGTGCTTACCGGGTAAATTGTTGCATATGATGTTGTTTTCGTGGACTAAAATCTTACCCTGTAAGTAAGCGATAGTGTTGAATTTCACGAGTAAGTGCTTACCGGGTAAGTGATTAGGTAAACGGCCCCTAAATCGATTAACGTATGGCCCGAACTGACTTGTAAAAATTAATGGGCGGGCAACTGGGAATGGTGATGAAAAAAAAGGGCAGACCTGTTTGGCCCGTTAATATTTTTATAATTAAAATTTAGAAATAAAATTGATAATTCTTAATATATACCGATTCCCACTTAATTATGGTTCATAATAATAACATTATTTGGAAATCTGAAAACATAATTATCTCAGTTGATCAATTCCGTGTAATCTCATTTGGTCATTTTCTTTATCGATGTTCCATCCATATTTTACACAACAGTTTTTTTAAGGTTATGTACATTGTTATGTTTTTAAGTATATCTTTAAGTTGAAAAAAAATTGTTACGTATTTTGAATTATTTTACATAATTTGTGATTTTATATAAGTTATCTTTTCATAAAATTGTGAAAAGATTTTTTGGCCCGTTACTCATGGGTAAGCCCGGTTTGTGAAAAGTTTTCAAGCCCATAAAAAAGGTCTCGGTTTACTATATTAAGCGCGTTGGACAAGAAAAATGTTAGGTCTAGTCCGAAACCGCAAATGATCAGCTCTAGGTAGTACCACGATCTATGATGTTATATCGGTCAGAATACGAAATATCGGTCAGGACCGATATTCGATATATCGGAAATAGCGGTTAACAATGTTGTCGATTGCTGTTGTTGCTGTCGATTACTCGTTCGTGAAAAGATGATTGCTGACTTGCTGTCGATTGTTGACTTGCTGTTGTTGCTGGTTGCTGTTGTTGCTGTCGATTACTCATTCGTGAAAAGATGAAGTGTGAACTGTGAAGTCGAGTCGTAAAGATGAAAAGAAAGGGAATGGAAGCAGACCGTTGGCGTGAAGGAAATGTTAGCCAGATTTTTGAGACCTAACTTATCCAAAAAATCTAAGCTCATAAAATAAGAGAAGCCCAAAAAATCTAAGCCTATAAAATAAGATAAGCCCAAAAAATTAAACCCTAAAAAATATCGATATATCGGTCGATATTTACCTCAAAATATCGCTAAATATCGGGAAAAAATCGTACAATATCGCCGATATTATCGGGAACGATATTTTGGGCGATATTTATGAAACGATATTTTTTCTACGGCCGATATCCGATATATCGCCGATATATCGACGATATATCGCGATTTTTACAGCATAGACCACGATACCTACTTATTTAGTTGTTTATTAGCTTTTGTATTTTTGATGTATTGACAAGGGGTGCTCATAGGTTGGGTTGATCGGGTTGAGAACATTGAACAACCCAACCCAATGCTTGCGGTTTGGAAAAATCTTAACCCAACCCAACCCAACCCGTACAGGTTAGTCGGGTTGATACTTTGGTATATTAAAATATTCTTCTAACCTTGAATATGTTATTTCTCTACTGATAATTTCTTTTTCATCATCAACCATTTGATACAACTTATTCATATTTCTTACGTATATCACATTCAGTTAATTTTCTCAATTTACATATATATGTTCACAGTTACTGAATGAGTTATATAGAGATATGAATAGATTGAAAMTATGTGTATAYGAAAAGCATACATGATAGTGTAATTGTCTAATGTATATATTAATAGAAATTCAATAATCATATTAAATACAAGAAATAAAATGATATCGGGTTGATCGGGTTCATTGGGTTCAAATAATAATAACTCAATATCAACCCAATACCTACGGTTTGACAATTTTACAACTCGATTAGACATCGGGTTGCTTCGGGTTGGGTTATTTCGCGTTCGGTTGGGTTGGGTTGGGTTGATTGGGTTTTTGAGCACCCCTAGTATTGACTATTAAACATGGTAACTTCAACTTTTTGTTTGAGCATCTGCATGTTTACAAATTTTATTCATTGCAATTAAAAAGCCTTTAAAAACGAAATTTATTATAAACAAAGTCAAAATGTTATTCAAATTTTGAACAAAATTAAGTTTTCATATATGCTATTTGAAATTGGTACAAAACCAGTACCGACGTATATCAACTGGAAAAAATTGGTACCAATTAAGTTGGTACCAAGTATCGTTGGTTGGTACATGATATAAAATTTTGTGTACCAGTTAACCAATTATAATCGATTGTTATATATTATTAGGGAGAAAGAATTTGGTATCATATCAAGTCCATCCCTATTTATAGTCGCGTATGAAAATAATTGTATCATGCGAAATATACAAAATCCCGACAACCAAATAACGCGATAAAGTAAGACTTCATTGTACTATATCGTTAAAACAGCAAACATGTTATTTATACGGTACACGAAAGACGTATATATATACACAAATCTCGTAAGAATTTCGTAGATATCGTAAGCGACATATACAAATCAAAACCGTTTTTGATCCTAATCTGTAACTTAGTTTCAAACTACCAGAACGAAGTATATGAAAGATTCATGCTTCCTCCGTTGTCTTGACGGGAGTCCATTCTTTATTCGTAACGGTTTCCTTCTTTGCACGAGATCTCAATCCAACAAGATATCCGCTTAAAAGACAAAATAATACAACAGCGGCACCCAGAGCATACCACGAATACGATGTTTTCCCACTTTTACCCCTACTATCGTCACTATGTTTACCCTCATCGGTCATCATATTAGTAATTTCACCATTTATGACTTTCCCGGAGGCTAAGATCTCCACCGCGTCGTGTGTCTCTCCGTCATGGTTTCCGATATATGTAAATGTTAGCTTCTCTTTGTTGGCAATGAGTTTGGTGTACCCAAACTCACCACCACGGTATATGGAGCGGGCTGGTTGTGGGAAGATTGGGTCTGTTAGGTGGTTCGGTCTAGGCTCCCAAATGGGTTGCCAGTCCTGACCCGCCATCCCAATCACCACGTGTACAGGGCCGCTCCCACAGGTGAAGTTGTTTATTGGACAAAAACGTTCGTATCTATGAACATGGCCCCATAGGGCTAAATTCACATTGTTGTCCACAAGCAACGGCTCCAAATGCTCGAGCATCTTCTCCCTGATCGGACGATCCCTAACCTCATTGCTCGTTGTATACATCGGTCTATGACCTTGGACTACGACAAATGGTGTTTTCACCCGATCAACCGACTCCAAATCCTTCTTTAAGAACTCGTATTGCTTACTCCCTTTGAGGAAATTCGTCTCCGTCGATAAATACACAAAATGAACAACACCAAAATTAAACGAGTAGTACAAGTTCCGAGTCGCCGGAGCCCGACTCCCGGTCGACTCAGACGAATTTCCAGGCATGTTGAACTTAAGACTATACGGTATTCCACATTCACCACCCCCATCTTTAGCATAGATATACATAGCCCAGTCCGGTTTCCATGGCTGCAACGGCCAATCGTATTCATGATTCCCGATGCAGACATGGTACGGGACTTTTGATGCCACAGGCTCGATTTGGTTGAAGAAATGGTCCCACAACCACGAGTAGCCACGAGCGTAGCTTATATCGCCGATGTGGGAAATCATAGCGGGTTTATCACCGAGTGATTCGATATCACGGGCAATCCATTTAATGGTGGAAATACTTTCATCTTGTGTTCTTACAAAGGTGTTGTATGGTGTTGCAGTTCCCATGTCTCCATATAAGAAAGCTATTGTTTCACCTGAATCTTCATCTGGTGATACAAAGCTGAAGATGTTGCTCCAACCCCCTGCATCACTTCCCACCTATTGCATCAAAGGCTACAATAAGTATTCCATAAATATATTTATATTCTCATTGTATGATTAATAAATATATGAGCATGTTTGGCTAAAAAAAAGAGTATGCTCGAATGGCTCAGCTCGGCTCGACTCAAAAGATTGAATCGAGTTTTCAAACGAGCCGATTCGAACATTAGTGTCATAAAGCTTGGCTAGTTAAGTTAAACGAGTTCTATTTTGCGTTCGAGATCGACTCGAGCTCGAGAATTATTAAGCTCGAGTAGCTCGTTAAAAGCTCGAATCTTTTACCAAAGTTAGATAATTGTTCTGTGAATGGTGCATTTGGTATGCGAATGGGACTGTAGACTGAACTGGACTGGACGAGAGTGAGGTAGGCACCTAATTCTGAAAGGTTTTAGGGTTCTAATTTGACACGGGTAATTTAGTAATTTACCAATCTTGTTCCATCTTCTTGATTTTTCGTTCACCTATTTTGGAGGGACAGAACAAAAATGCATTTTTATCCAACTCGAGTCCTTATCTGTACTGGTCTAATGTTACGCCAAACATGAGACAATAAGTTTTTGTATTATTCTCGCGTACCAAACGCAATAGAAGTGCTCAAATGATACAAAAAAAACGATTCTTATAATGAAATAATTAAGAAATGTTCAAAAGATTGGATGAAACAAGCAGGGGATCAAGTATGCAAACAAAGAAATAAACCATTAATTACACAGAAATAAAAAACAATCAACCAAAAAAAATGAGTTGACCTTGGTCAGCTGAAACAACCATATTAAAGGAAGAAGTAGAAGAAGGATGAAGATCTTGATGACTATCTGTAATCTTGATCAATACCCTAATCTCAACCTTAAGAACCCATGTTGGAATTTAGAGAGAGATCAAAACTTCAGAAAACCATTGAAGATGTGCGTGTGGCATGCAGGACCGGACATAGAACTTGTTGTCTCAAGTTCAGTGTGACATCAGACTGGGACAGGCTAGGATCTGAGTGAGACAAAAATACATTTTTTCTGTCCCAGGTGACAAAATTGGTAATTACCAAACTACCCATGTCAATTTTGAATAGAAAACCCACCAAACAGCCCCTAATCCTCAAAGAAGACAGATAGAAAGTGAGGGGGATTTTTTGAAGATGACAAGAGCCAACAAGAAGTAGTGTGGATGGGTTGAGAAAAGGGAGATGGGTTTTGCCATGAGATTAAAACAGAGAGAAAAAGATAGGTGGTGGGATGAGGGGTATGGTGTTCTTTTTTACTTCTCAATACAAAACATTTGACAAAAACAGCAATTTCCACTCAACACTCGTCTAAATCAGACCTCTTACCTCAGTCAGCACTCACCCACAAGTAGACCATAAGTCTTATCATTGTGATAACAAGGAAACCTTAAATCTATTAAAATTTGCCATCTTTACTATGGGTTGATCTTAAGAACCCTAAACCCCATTGTATTAGGGATCCTTGGGTTTGCAAGGGTTGGGAGAGAGGGTTTTTCTCCTCAGTATTTCATATGCATTTTAAGAAGATATAACCTTCTTCTTGAAAAGGAGAAAACTTGCACTAAGATTCAGCTATCCTAATAAAGATAATTGGGCAATGAAATGGATACTAATCAAAATTGCTAACGGGTTATATCAATGAATCCCTACCAGAAAGAAAAAAAACCTCTTTTACAACCAGTCAAGTGCATATAGAAAGAAAAGGGGTATTTAGCATTTAGCAACCTATTTGTTCACACTCTTGCACAATCCGGGATCTCCATGGCGACCAGTTGCTCTACTCTTTGGGGTAGATGTCAGGTCTGCACGACCACCAACCCATTTCGAGTGGGATCTTTTGGGTCCGTTTTGGTTTGGTTTTAGCAACCTAGACAGCATCAGAAATGAAAATTTCATGGCGGTGTGTTTGCAAAGGAAGTGTTCATGGCTCAAATCCATGTCCATTAGGATGTGAACAATTTAGCTCATGCTAATTGGGTTTGCAAATGAGTGGTTCTTGTCATAGTTTGCTGCAAAAAGAGCCAAGCTTTGTATCTACTCTATGCAAGTAACCGAACAAGACAACATACCAAATTCTTGTGGGGAATATTTTTCAAAACAGTCTCTGTCCGAAAAAACTTAGAAATATCCTAGAGGGTCATTTTGCAAAACAACCTTCTAGAGAAGGTCATTGAGCTAAACTGCTAAATAGTCTCAAGAATATGCCCAATTATAGAAGCAACAAAGAAATTTAAATATCTAATAATGGAACTAATGCATCAAGCATAATAAGCAAGAACATAGAAGTCTTGAATTTTAAGCCTATAAATCAAGAAACAGAGTCCTACCTACTGTAACTTGAAGCAATCATGTTCTTAGAATCCTTGTGGGATTTCTAAATCCTTTGTTTATGAGATTTCAAATCCATGTAATTCTTCAAACCAAACATGGGATTGGAATAGAATTGAATTCCAAATCCTTTCTAATCCTACAAATCAAATGGGACCTTAGGATCATAACTATTAATGGAATGCAAAGTTCTTTGCGTCACAGAAACAACTTCCAATTCAAAATCGACAAGAATTCGCTTTCAATTTTGGGTAAAACCCAATAATTGGTATGATTAATATCTAATTACAATCATGATTTCGTTAAACATGGGTTGGACAAGTAACATACAAGTAACTTGAATTCAAAAAATTCACCAATTAGTTCAGAAAATTACCTTATAGAAATACCTCTTCCCTGGCTTCAAATTCACCATCACTCCATCATGTATAAACCCTGGATCTCTCCATCCAACACTCTGATTCGCCGGAGAATCGCACATATCCTCCATTTCATACCGCCCAACCCTAGTTTCCACCACCTGATCCATCCGATCAGGACCCGACCCGTATCTCACCACACTCTCCTTCCCATGGCCACTCACAAACATGACTCGGATCTCACCTACCTCACCCGTTAATGCTAAATGGATCTGGTCCGGTCCATGACGCTGTTCGAACTCGAATTCCTCCGTTTCCGCCAGCAAATGTTTGGGTTGGGGTAACGGGTTGTGGTCGTGGTCGTGGCGAGTCGGGATGATCTCTGACTCGGACCATCGGAATATCCGTAACTTGTATTTGGATCTGAGGTTAATTAAAGGGATTGTGATGGAACCCGATCCGGATTCCCAGGTGGGAGAGGTGTTGAGGTAGAGATAGCCGATGTAGTTGTAGAGGGAGGAGTTGGGTGGCGAGTAGATGCCGATCCAGTCGAGTTGTGAAGGTGAATCGACTCGGGACCAGTTGATTGTTACCGAGTTGTTTGATTTTGAGAGTGAGTTTGAAGAGATTGAAAGAGAGACTGATTCTGAGATTGAAGGGCCAATAAAAATAGTGAGGAAGAAGAAGAGAGTGATTGATGAATTCATCATCATTTTGGGAATGGAATTGCTAAGATTTGGAGGTTGGATTAATGGAGAAGACGATGAATATAATCTATTGGATTTTGATTAGGAATGAAGGAAAATGGAAAAAGAGTGTTGATGTTTGGTTGATTGATGAAACCCTTTTCTGATTTGTTCTTCCATCGTATTCTTGACAGAGGTCGATATGCCATTTGCCAAGATTGGTGAATGCAGAGTGTGGTTGTACATGATGACCAAACGGTTTTGAGAATGGTTGATAATCAAACCTTTTTTAACCTCAAAAGTTGGTTTTGATTGGTTTAAGTTTGATTTCAAAGATCAAAAGTATTTGAAGTTTACGGGTTTAAATCCAAGGGTGAATAAAAATCTTTTTGTGGCCATGGAGGTTCGAATGTGGTGATTTCGGATTATCTGCAAAACAGATGGTCGTCTTGGGATTAGTCAGCTCGCATAGCGAGTTAGATATCCATGTTAATAATAAAAAAAAATCAAACCTTTTTGGGTTAAATTTTTATTTTAGAAATAAAAAACTTATCTTTGTTAAGGGTATATTTGTTTGTTTTTTAGTTTCTTATGTCTGATTTGTTAATGGATATGTTATTCAAACTGTTTTTTTTTTAATTTTCAGAATCACTCATGTTTTATTGTCCTATTAGGTGGTAAGAGATAAACCAACCTCTTATTCATCTTTTATTGTTCTCCAGACTCTCAGCAAACAACGTTTTCCTAATTGATTAATCTTAATCTATGTTTTCTCTCAATTGATCATTACCAAATCGTTCCTCACATTTGTCAGTTGATGATTCAAATGTGTTAAATACCGATAATAACATATTTTCATTTAAATGAATGTTAACCTATAATTAATCTTGTAAAGGCCACGTCTGTCAGATCAGATATATGTTTGATCCTTGCAAATAGTTTAAAACGTGTGGATTAACAAAAAAGAATCCACTCGATTATAAATTAAAAACAATAAGTTTAAATTGGCTAATAAAAATCTTAAAGAAAATGATGAAAATGTTTTATACTTTTATAGGACCTTCGGTATAGATTAGGTCTTGGTTCGCATCGACATAGAGATGGAGGGTTGGGTTCATGTGAGACCAGCCTGTTTTTTGTGAGACCCCTGAGACAATTTTTTTACACTTCAAACTTCACAGCAAAACACTGTGAAGATAAAAAAAAAAAAAAGTTGAACCTTCATAGCATTTTGCTGTGAAGTTTCAAGTGTAAAAAAGTGGTTTCACAGATCTCAAGAAAACATACTGGTCTCATGTGATCTCAAGTGTAGAGATTGATTGTGGTAACCATGACACATAGACTAGATACGTGGTTAAAAAGATTATCAAAAAACATTTACCACATTGGTGGAGTTCTATCGGCTAAGAAAACATGGGACTAATTTGAAAGACCATGGTGGATAACGACATCTTTGATGAATTGTGGTCGTTGGCGAGGAATTTAAAGATTTTTAGGTTAACTTTTTCCTAAAAAGGCTAATAATCTGATATAGGATTAAAGATTATAAACCCACGTTAATTAAATATTTTAATCATATACTCAACTTAACATAAAGATCAAATCTTTAGAACGGAACGCCAGTATAAATCAAAGAAATTCCATGTGAACCATTTTTTGCAGTTACAGTTACACCAACCTTGTTTTTTTATTTTTTATAATTAACATGGATATTCAACCCGTTATGTGAGCCGACTAATCCCAAGGAAACCATCTGCTTTGTGGGTAGCCCGGAGTCGTCGCATTTGAACCTCTGTGGCCACAATGAAATTTTTATTCCTTATTGGATTTAAACCTGTGACCTCTAGGCACTTTTGACATTTGGAGTCCGAGCTCAAACCAATCAGACACCACATTTATAGTTCAACCATCTTTTCACTCCTATTTTGTATAACGCACTTTAAAAACCTCCATTTTGAAAGTCAAAATTCAAAAATTTCGATTTTAGGTGTCCTGGTTATCAAATTCATGTTTCAAAATCTTTAACGGAAGAAACGTTAGTTTTCATTTCAGTTCCCCAATATGAAATGTTTGTTTGTTCCCAAAATGAAAATTTTGAAAGTTGATTAATCTGATAAAAAAATCTACTTAATTTTAAATCAAAAATCATAAGAGCAAATGCCTGATGAAAATTTCGAACTACTGATCATCTTTTATACTTTTGTTGGAAACTGATTAGCTTTTGGTCTACGTCAACATATTGGTCGATTATGGTAACAACGACACATAGACTAAATATGTGGTTATAATGATAGTCGGGAAATACATTTGCCACGTTGGTGAAGTTTTAATGCTAGTTCAGAAAACGAGGGACTGATTTGAAAGAGCATGGTAGACAACGACATGTTGAAAAGTTACGGTTGTTGGTGACAGATATAGATATTTTACGCTTTACTTGTCACTATAATTTTCATAATCTGTATAGATTTTAAGAAGAAAAATCTTTTTTGATTAAATATTTTAATCTTTATACTCGATTTAACATAAAGATCAAAAAATTTAAATAAAACAAATTGCACAAAAAAAATGAAACTAAATTTTTTATTTAACTTGTATATCCAACTTGCTATACGAGACGGTTAATTTTTAGGGTGACCACTTGCTTTGTGGGTAGTCCGGAGTCACCACATTTGAATCTCTGTGGCCACAAGAGTGTTTTTATTCCTCATTGGAATTGAACATGAGACCTCTAGGCACTTTTGACCTTTGGAACCCAAGCTCAAACAAATCAGACATCACCCTTGTGGTTAATTTTGTTTTTGTTCATATTTTAAGGAAGCAACTTGAAAAAATATTATTTAAGTGACCCATTGACCAATATGATAGTGTTGAATTTTGTCCCCAAAAAACGAGATACTTTAAAAGTTTATTTTTCAATTATAGAGATTTTGAAAATTGGTTTTCTAAAATAGGGACGAATACGATCTATTTTGATGCAATTTGTCAGTTTACAAACTATACTGTTTTTTACTTAATTTTTAGCATTTCGTAAAGTGGTGATTAATAATCACAAGGGTGGTGCCTGATTGGTTTGAGCTTGGCTCCAAAGGTCAAAAGTGTCTAGAGGTCACATGTTCAAATCCAATAAAGAACAAAAATCCCTTTGTTGCCACGGAGGTTCAAATGTGGTGATTTCGGGTTACCTACAAAGCAGGTGGTCGTCCTAGGATTAGTCGGCTCGCATGGCGGGTTGGATATCCATGTTAATAAAAAAAAAAGTGGTGATTAATTTGCAATGATAAGCATGGTTCCATTTGTTCGTCCCTCTTTTACCAACTAAACTTAACGAGATTTACAATATCATCAAACTTAGGGTTGTTTACCGAACACTTATTGGATATCACTATTTCAGGGGCCCTGTTTAAAATCTCATATTTAACATGTTAAAAGACGACCCTAATTTACCATGGTAAATATCAACCATATACTGGTATTATTCTTAGTTCCATTAAATGTTGAAGTTTATTTAAATGCTAGTTACGGATGAAAAAGCGAAATGTAACAAAGGTTACGTGTTTCAAAGCATCAAGTATATATTGACTTGTTTATCTCAAAATGACGTCGTTATGCAGATTTGACGGAAGTATACGCATGCAGGCATGTGAAGAATTATGGTATAATAACTATCGTTGAATAGTCAATGTTAGGTTTCAACTATAATTTAAAAAAAAAATGATGTAAGAATTACGATTGTTTGATATAAGAATTTAACACTTGCAATTTAGTAAGCGGTCATGTTTCACTTTGTTTTCATTCTTTTTATTACCCACTTTATTTTTTTTTTGGACAAAATTTTGATTTTATTGGCAACCTCAATCAACTACACATGGAACCTACCTTCAAGTAGTGATGGCCAAAAACTGATCCCGGGTTGGGTTGGGCTGGTCCTTACTGAGCAAGGGCCTCAACAGATCTGACCATAACGGGTCCCGGTCGAAAAAGGTGAGCCCGTCAAGGTTTATTGTAACTGGTTATGGGCTGTCGGTCCCGGTCATTAAAAAATAATATTTTTATTTTATTTTTTTAATGATATATATTTTTAATACATTGTAAAATTTTGTATTTGGGTAACTCAAATACACTTTAAAAATGAGTTTTATTATAATTAAAATTACATTGTCTTACAAAATATAGCGAGAGACCGAGAATTGTGAACGTTTTAACTTTTTTTTTTGCGAATCAAGAACTTGGTATGTAAACCCCTCAACCAAGACACTTGTATATAGTGTTTAGAAGGCAAAAAAAAAAAAAAAAAAAAAGGGCCAAAAAACGGTGATAAGCAACTAGTTTTTTGATAAATAACGGCTACATTTTTTTTAAAAATCGGGTCGGGCTGGGTAAATCCATAACCGGTCCCAGTCCCGCGAAACACCCCAAATTCATAAACGGTCCCAGATTTTGGTCCTATAACCGGTCCCGGGCTGGGCTGGGCTGGGCTGGGTCGGGACGGTTTGGCCATCACTACCTTCAAGGATGCAAGTGTAAGGGGCATTTTGTGGCTCAGTACAAAATTGGGCAAAATTATGCCAAAACTGCCAACTGAGATACACATCAAAGACATTAACTTTTATATGAATTAGGCAAATGGCGTTTGAGACAAGAGTATTGTGAAATAAGACCTTTTATTGTTGAATACAAACAATAAAATTGCGGACCGTATAATATTTTAGACGATGGATCGTATGAGAATAAAAGTTATGATGAGAACACTTATATGCATTTGGATGAGTCATGAGTTGACTTTTTAATTTAACTTGATTTTTTTTCAACCATTCGAGCACACTCAATTAATTACCTTCAACTATGTTTATCTACCTTTATATTCAAATTTATCTTTAGTTCTTCACTTGTAAGCTACTTTCACAAACTTTTGCATAAATTTAATCACTTTCAAATGTATGAATTTGTTAAAGTTTATGTAATAATAATAATAATAAAAAAAAAGGTAAATAAAGATATATATATATATATATAGTTGGGATCACGTGAGACCACTTTTTTACACTTGAA